AAAAATCAAAAAATGCTGGAAATTGTCCAAAACGCGCACAAAACAATAAATTTTTGAAAAATTCCACCTTCATATTTGTTTCAAAATTTTAAAAAAAAATGGTTTTGTGCGATTTTCAGACAATTTCCAGGGTTTTTTGATTTTTACAAAATTTTGAAATTTTTACAAAATTTTGAAATTTTTTCAAAACACTCCTTTAGCGCTGCATGCCAGCCTGTTTGGATGCCTCATCCTGTGTCTGCCGGACTCGGCCTCTATCTCACCCGGTTGCTGTCCGCCTCAGTGTCTCCACCAACAGGCCTCTGCATGACTCGGTATGTAATCAAAAGTGTCTCTGTCCGTCTCGGTCTCCGCCTTACGTGTTGTCTGCAGCACCTGGGCTCTTCAGAGACGGCAGGTCGAGGAGCGTGAGGTAAGACCGCGTTCGTGAGAGACACAGTTCTTCAGTAACAGTCCGACAGCGACCGGTTCTGCAAGGCATCAGGTAGGTAGAATTTTGAAAAATTTGAAAAAATTTGAAAAATCAAAAAATGCTGGAAATTGTCCAAAACGAGCATAAATCAATAAATTTTTCAAAAATTCCACCTTCAAATTTTTTTTCAAAATTTTCAATTTCTTTTGTTTTGTGCGCTTTTCAGACAATTTCCAGCATTTTTTGATTTTTAGAACATTTTGAACTTTTTTCAAAACACCCCTCAAACGATGCATGCCAGCCTCTTTGAATGCCTCATCCTGTGTCTGCCGGACTCGGCCTCTATCTCACCCGGTTGCTGTCTACCTCGGTGTCTCCAACAACAGGCCTCTGCATGACTAGGTATGTAATCAAAAGTGTCTCTGTCCGTCTCGGTCTCCGCCTTACGTGTTGTGTGCAGCACCTGGGCCTTTCAGAGACGGCACGTCGAGGAGCCTGTGAGGCAAGACCGCGTTCGTGCGAGATACAGTTCGTCAGTAACAGTCCGAAAGCGACCGGTTCTGCAAGGCATCAGGTAGGTAGAATTTTGAAAAATTTGTAAAATTTTGAAAAATAAAAAAATTCTGGAAATTGTCCACAACGCGCATAAAAATAAATTTTTGAAAAATTCCACCAATTTTTTTTTAAATTTTCAAAGCTTTTTGGTCTTGTGCGCTTTTCGGACTTGTCCCAAGTCTTCAGAAGTCCT